CATTTTAGTTAGGTCAATGCAAAACAAACAAAACAAAAAGTTATTAAAACACACTCAAAGTAGGAACTTCAAGCTTCATCATAATTCTAGACCTACATACAAAAATATAAATTGATGAGCATAATAAACACATCAGAGTAGATGAGTTTTGGGAAAATAAAAGGCAAGTAACGAAGAGAGAAATAACTTGAATTGACATTAAAAGAGCTCATTAGCTACAGTAATCAAAACAGTATGATACCAGCATAAAAAGAGACACATAGGCCAAATGGAACAGAACTGAAAGCCCTGAAATAAACCCATGCATATATGGCCAACTAATATTTCACAGAGGAGGCTAGAATACTCATTGGAGAAAAGAAAGTTTCTCCAATAAATGGTGCTGAAGAAATCAGGTTATTCACATGTCAAAGAAGGAAACTAGAGCCCTAACATACACTATTCACAAAAATTAACTCAAAATGCACTAAAGACTTAAATGTAAGACTGGAAACCATAAAACTCCTACAAGAAAACAGGAAAGAGAGTTCCTTGATATGGGTCTTGGCAATGATTTTTTAGATATGACATCTAAAACACAAGCAACAAAATAAAAAATAAACAAGTGATACTATATCAAACTATGAACCTTCTGCACAGCAAAAGAAATGATTAACAAAATGAAAGACAAACTACAGAATGGGAAAAAAAATTTGTAAATCATATATGTGGATAAAGAGTTAATATCCAAAATAAAGAACTCATACAACTCAATAGCAAAAAAAAAAACAAAACAAAACCCACACAAAACCAAATAATACGATTAAAAAATGGGCAAAGGACCTGAATATAAATTTTTCCAAAGAAGATATATGAATGGCCTACAGGTACATGAAAAGGTGCTCAACATCACTAATCATTAGGGAAATGCAAAACAACACCACAATGAGATATCACCTCACACCTCTTAGAATGACCAGCCTCAAAAGGACAAGATGTAACAAATGCTGGGAGGATGTGGAGAAAAGGGAACCTTTGTGCACTGTTGGTGGGATTGTAAATTGGTACAGCCGCTACAGAAAACAGTATGAGATTCCTCAAAAATTTAAAAAGAGAACTACCGTCCAGCAATTCCACATCTGGGTATATATTTGAAGAAAATGAAAACACTAACTCGAAAACATACATGCACCCCAATGTTCATAGCTGCATAGCTTACAATAGCCAAGATACAGAAGCAACCTAAGTATCAATCAACTGATACACAAAGAAGTTACATGCACAATATAATATTATTCAGCCATAAAAGAGAAAGAAATTCTGCCATTTGCAACAACATGGATGGACCTTGAGGGCATCATGGTAAGTGATATAAGCCAGACAGAGAGAGACAAAAACTGTATGATCTCACTTATATATGGAATTGTTTTAAAAACTCATAGAAAAAGAGATCATATCCATGGTTACCAGAGGTGAGGGCTGGGGAGTAGTGGGGTGGGAATTGGATGAAGGTGGTCAAAAGGTACAAACTTCCAGTTATAAGATAAATAAGTACTGAGGACGTAATGTACAACATGATGTTTATAGCTAACAATGCTGTATGGTGTATTTGAAAGTTGACAAGGGAGTAAATCCTAAGAGTTCTCATCACAAGGAAAAAAATATTTTTCTTTTTTGTGGTGTTTCTATGAGACAATGGATATTAACTAAACTTACTGTGATAATCATTTCACAATATATGTAAGTCAATTCATTATGCTGTACACCTTAAACTTATACAGTGCTGTATGTCAATTACATTTCAGTAAAACTGGAAAAAAAGAGCTTATTAGTAATTAAATTTAGTTTAGTTCATTAGATATATATTATCCAAGGTACTGGAGGGAAAACAAGACATGAGATACATTCTATCTATCGATCTATCTAAATAACTAGACAAGTAAAGGAAATTTTTAATAAAGGCAATATAAGGTCATCAGTGAAATAGTGGCAAAAAACTTTACAACAGGAAAGGAAGAAAAGTGGAATCAAGAAAGATATTGAGTCTTATTATCTCGAGCACTATTGATTTCACTGAATGGATCTGAATTTGAAAGAGGGCCATGGAAGTTGGGCATACTTCACTAGGGACAGGGTAAGCGGAAAATAACACCTGATACATGGAAACAACATAATTCACATTTTCACATTTAAATAAGAAACATTTAAAAATTTTCTTCTGCAGCAAGAAGCAACAACCTGCTCTACTGCGACATTCTAATAATCTCTGAATAATTTGCTTTTCATTTTGATAGCCAAAAGCAAAACTCTCATGGCCATATATTTACAGATAGTAAATTATATCCCTACAAAACTTGACTGCAAGCTCTTTGAAAGCTAGGATGGTGTCTCTAATGCAGTGTTTGACACAAACAGACACAGAATGAATATTTAGTGAATTTAAATAAACTATGAGAAAGCCAGTATAGTATTATTTTCTGAAAATACATGCCTTAAAACACTAATCCTAAAATGTGCACTGTGAAAAAAAAATTCAAGCCAAAAATTTGATAAATTATGCAAACTTTATTATTCATCCTCCTGTCACAGACCGCTGATGAGCATATTAACATATTAAAATCTCTGAAAAGTGCTGAAGTGCCAAAATCAACCTACCTCTTTTAAATCTAGCATTTCCCAAATGTAAGGGGGCTAACAATCATTTTTGTTCTTCCTCAGACCACTAAGACCCTTCAGAATTATCATTCTATCAAATACTTTGGGAAATTCTCTATTAGAGTCCAAAAGGTAAATGTATGCAAACTGTTACAGAAGAATGAACTATAATATTCCTGAATATTTAAACATATCACTGAATTTACCTTCAATTTCACTGGACTCTCTATAAACTACATGGTCTCCCAACCAAATTGCTTAAAACTATATTGATGACAGCAAGAGAAGATAAACTGGAAACTTAAATATTTAATCTCCTCTCTATTCGACAGCTAATATAAAGATTGTCACAATTAGATTTAAACACACACACACACACACACACACACACACACACCACTATGCCAAACTCTTCCACAGCATCAAAGTCCTTTTTTCCTTCCACCTTATTCTTTCAAATCAGAAAGGAGTTTATAGAACCAAGGTCAAACTTCTCAAAAAGTTTATTTCTCATAAAACATAGATCACTGAAATGAGCAACTATTTAAAAACTACCCAAGAACAAACGTGACTATCTGTGCCCAAAAGACAAAGTATCATTAAGAATTTCTCAACTGCTTTATCTCCAGTATGGAAAAGTATCAATGTAACTTGAAGAACATTTAGATGCTATGAGATTGATAATGCTCCTCAACACTCATGATGTACACCAACTAACAAACATACTAAAGTAATCTCAACCCTGTTCTCACCTTGCCTTTGGTCCAACAAAAAATCATGTCTGACCTATGACCCACATATAGATTTTTAGGATTACTGACTTCTCATTAATTCAAAACCTAGCAAATTCTGGGCATATTTTAGAGAAAAAACAAGGAGCCTGAAAACAAGTCTTTCTAAACCCAATGTCACTGACTATTCAGAGTCAAAATCCAGTCAAGCAATGAAAAAAGACTATAAATAGAATATTTAAAATCTGGAAAAGGTGTATAGTGAGATTTTTTTTTTAATTAAGAGATATCAAAAATGACGAGGGGGGAGAATGAATATATCTTAATAAAGCTTTGCTAATTGAAGATATAGTATTTAGGAAACAAAAAATTAAGTATTTTTGGAAGTTTTTGGTTTAAGTACTCTGAGAAAAATTATCAGCTGTCCAAATTAGCAATTTTAAAGCACATATTTCTATTATTAATATTAAAAACCATTATTCTAAATTATTAAGGAAAATAGGCAAACTGACCCTATTAAATATATTAGTATATTGTTCATGCTTTTAAATAGTGCTAGAAAGGTACCAAAGAAGGACAGCTTGATATATTTATATCTTTACTTGAAAATATGCATAAATATCTATTATTATAGCTACAGTAACAAGGAAACCTTGACCTATTTAAGAACAACTGATAGCTAAATGACAGATCAGCATTTTAAAAAAGAAAGGTTCTATTTCTGAGTACTGATAGGGTTTGTACTGGTTTGTACTTTCTATGAGCAGTGTACATTAGTTATTTTGGAAAGGATCTTTTCATAGTGTATTAAAATGTATGTAGGTATATAATTTGTACATCGAATTCTAATGCTTGATCTGTTTTATCAAAGGACCTTCCTTAAAAGGCAACCAAAAATATATTGTAAAGTGAGAAATCTCCTCCGAATATACATAATTTGTCATCGTACAGAGATTTTTTATATTCTCTGCCAGGTCAAAATAATTCCTCTAGTAACAAATTCTGAATCTAGAAGCTTAACTTGGCCCACAAAATATCTGTATTTCCCTCTATTACAGGTTATAGAGAAATTTTTCAGTTCATTTCCAAATATTTTAATGAAAACATTCTATAAAGAGTATTCAGTGGACCCAAAAATGTTCTCATTTTTTGGTACTCAACACTCATCAAAAAGTACAAGTAGACCAAACAATGCATAATTGCATTTCTTGGAATATTTATGAGATAATTTGCATAGAGTATAACATGCAATATAAATATAGCCCAAGATCCAAGGTTTAATTAGATTTTTTGTTCTGAATTCACTGATTTATGACTAGTGGCTTAGCATGATTTCTAGAAATACTTTTAAAAGCTCACAAAAGAAGGATATAAATATTGCATTTTCCTTATACTCCATATTTATACTATTCTTACACTTCTAAACTACTAGAGACATTCAGACATAGTGTAATTACTGAATTCAGAGTCATTCATATTCATTCTATTATTGTGTGCAGTAAAATTTAATAATCCATGAGGACATTTTCCCCAAATATACTTTAACACACTAGAACAAACTAAAATTTTCATCAATAATTTAAAATCCAGGCAAAACTCTCAGATGTGAAACATAAAGAAGAAATTTTGCCTTACCTCATACTCAGAAATTTCAGGTAAGTTACTTTCATCTGCCTTCTCTAGCTTTTCAGCAGCCCACTTGCTTGCAGCCTCAGCAAGTTCCTTTTCCGTTAGCCGACTGGGTTTATCTAACACCTAATAAAAACAAAAGAATGGTTCTGTTACAGTTCTCAAGGGCTTTTACATGTCAAATACATCAAGAATTATACCCCATTTACACATGAAATCATATAAGTCTTCAAATTTATAAAGAGAACAAGTACATTCTTCACTTTTTCAAAAATATTCAACACAGAATTTCGTTAAGTTGCAATTTTGGGGGGACATATAGACTAGATCTGACTCCTACTTTCATTTATATAAAACTTTAGAAATTCATCTAAGGAACGAAACAAAAGACACTGACAACTAATATACTAAATATTATTTAGAATATACAAGACATTATACTGATTTCAACTTTGTATCTTTAATTATATTCAATGAAATAACCAATGCCAAAATTTCATCAAGATAAATTCCTAATTAATGAAACAGAAAAGTCCAGATATGCTATTTTATACTTTGTAGTAGTTTATATAAATCCTACTCTTTACACGAAATGTATACACTTAAATTTCATTTTTTGATACTACCACTACTTCCCTTCTCCACCTACATACAATACTAAACAAAGTATAGGATTCGGAGTTACAGATAAAGCTGGGTTTGAATAGCAGTTTCATCACTAGTGAGGGTAGATGATTTTATATACATAACTTATGACACTGTGAGCCTTCATTTTCTCATTTACAAAACAGGGATTAATAATATTATATTCACTCTTAAAGTAGTTGTGAGAATCAAGGGAAGTAACAGACCTGAAAGCATCTAGCATAACGCTTAGTACTTTAATTTTGTTTCCAGCTCTTACTTCTATAAAGTCACATCATTGATTCTAAATATACCTCCTCTGGATGACAGTGTCAGTAAAAATCCCCATGTTATGGTACACTATCATTTATAAAGCGCTTACACATGCAAACCAAAAAAAGGTATTTTAATTAAATGGAATTCCATGAAGGTGGCTAGACTTTATCACCCCCAACTTAAAAACCAAAAAACTGAATGTCAAAAGGTTAGTGATTTGCACACAGTTACCAATAAATGCTGAGCTGGAACTTAAAACTAGGTCTTCTAGATGAGTAAGGCCCTTGACCACCTTCAATTCAATTTACCAAAAAATTGGTTTGCCATCCATAATATTTACTAGAAGATAATCACAGTGTATCTACATGGAGTGTTTCCATGGCCACTGAGTAAGCCTCAATATCTTATTCCAAAGCCCTACCCATACATAAGGTTAAAAAGATATAAGCAATACCTTTACTATTACTTAGTAATAAGGTTAAAAAGGTTTTATAAAAATAAGAAACACAAACAAAAATATTTTTTTAAATGTACACCTCACTTTTCTTTGGTACTTGTTTTGAAAGAGAAAGTTATAGAGCAAAAACAAAACGAAACATTGTAAATTATCTCTAGTAAAGAAGGAAGCAAAATCTTTTATAACTGAATCCTTCTATTCAACCATCATTAACTCTGTACACTTAAAAAACTCTCATTTGAAACTGACTTCTAACAGCAGAAAATAAACTCTGAAAAACTATTCCTACATGACAGTAACCATAATGTTTAAAAGAAAAAGTCCTCCACCATATCAGGAAATCTAGGTAATAAAGCTAGCATGTAACCCTGGGAAGAGGACACAGGAAGCTATACTTTCCCAATATATAAAATGATTATAGATCTAAAATTCTGAAATTCTCATTCCATTCTAAGACAAAAATGCAAACATCTAAAATAAACTGTCAGATGAAAATATCTAAAATCCATTAGGGTTGGATTTGATGGTTAAAATATATTTTCATCACGTACCACAAAGTCCTATGCTATAACATATTCACACCACATTACAGTTCAAGAGAAATAAATATTCCAAATATCATAATTTAAATATTCATAGTGACTTAGATGGGTAAGTATTATTTACTCTTCATTCATTTCTAGCTGGGGAAAAAAAACACAAAAAAAACAAAACCAAGCCAGTGTTTCAGATGGGTAAAGCACCCTTGATATGATAAGAAAGAACCAAAAAATCCAATCAATCTTTCCTATTCAAAATCCAGCATTCTAGCATCCTCAGACTTCTGGGAAAGCTCCAAAGACACAAGCTGTCACAAAGACACCTTTTCTTTTTTCCATTTGAGGCAGAGAAGCAGCTGCCCACTGAACACCAGCACAGACCACCAGGTGATATCTTTTCTTACAGAAAAGCCAAACATACCAAAGACAGAAAACAAAAAGAAGTGAAGAAAGATGAGAACAGAAGTAACAACAGTTATGGAAAGAGAAAGA